CTAGCCTTGAGCTGAAGAGCTGAAGGACAGCGCCCAGGCCCAGAGTTCAGGCCCCATGACCGGACCCAAAAAAAAAAACAAAAAAAAAAGTTCACTTACCTAGGCCACTAGGAGAATCCAATCAGGCTTTACTGGATTTCTTACCCAGCAATTACCATTCCAATTTGGCTGTCCATTCTTCATTGAATCTAAGCATAAAAATGGAGTTTCCCCAGACCTTTGGGTCTATATTTCCGAAGGTTCCAGTATCATGGTATGCTTTTCTCCTGTTAATCTGTCTTTAACAAAAGACAGATTGTCAGATAATACCTTTCTGTTGGGGAGAGAGAGTTGTCACACCTGCATTTTCTGCCCCTCTGCATATTCGGGATTCTTGTTAAAATGTAGATTTTGATTCAATAGGTCTGGATAGAGGTTGAGAGTCTGCATTTCTAACAAGCCTCCAGTGCTGCCTGTGCCACTGGACTAAATATTATGCTTTGAGAATTAAGGTTATAGGAGTTGTTTTTTGTTCCTAGGGTAAGTATATTTTCCTTCATGCTCCATCTGCCCTAATTCAATAAGCTACTATCACCTTCTCCAGAATGATTTCTCTTCGTATGGCTTACCTCTAAGAGCTCCTTTTTCTGAATGTGATTACTAATTCACTGCTCATGTCATGTATTAGGCTGGTGACTATTTGATCTTCACCCACCACACACACACACACCCCTATTTGGAGGCCAAGGACACTGTGTTCCCCCAAACAACTCCTACCGATTAACTGGAAGATAATATCAGCTTATGTTCTTGGAGGGCAGGCATTTTACTGTTTTTCTTCCATTGTCTTCTGCACTCAGCTAGTGCTGAACTTGTTTTTATAAATAAACCAAGAGTTCCTGTTAATGTTAAACTGTCTAGCACCACAATCCACAGCAGTACTGCCCCCTAGAGGAGTATATTGAAAAATTACAGGTGCTTTCATTCTTTAATCATGGGAAAAAGGGGCTCCAAGTATTTAGTGGGGGTAACCCCAGATCCAGAAGGTTGTGTCCCACACAGGTTTCATATGTCAAACTGGATTCATGACCATGTTAAAATATGGTTCAATTACTAGAACTTTATCTCTGTTTTACATAGAAACACAAAATATGTTTGTAACTTTTGAATACACAGTGTTCTAGAAATACAACCACTCTGCAAGTCTTAAGACAGGTGGTACTCTTTTTGATTTAGGAAAATCAGGACTCTGAAGCTACCTCCATTTTGGGTATCTGGTCAGGAGACATATTTGTGCCCATCACCCATGTAAATGCCACAGGCCCAGCAATTCCATGTTTAGGAATGCAATTACTTAGCTATTGTTTCAAAATGTCAAAAATGAAGAAAGGTCTTGTCTTCTTTCTGGTCTTAAATTGTAAGTAGGTGCAAATATCCAACTACTACTTTATGACTTCTAATCGGGCTCCAACTGGATGTTTATGTGCAAATGCACATTAATTATGTATGTCACTACTTTTGCTCCTCCTTGGTAATAATTTAGGCCATTATATTGATTTTTAAATTATATGTGAATGTATTATCCATGAATTCATTTCATAACCACAATAGTGAATCTAAAGAAACTGTTGTAAAAAGCAGTGCAACCATTATCACAAGATGATCTAGG